ATTATTATTATTTTTTTTTTAATCTGCACGTCAAGTGAAAAAGAAAAAAAAAAAAAGTCGAAACCAGATATTTTTTGATACCACAGTTGACGACGACGTGTGTGACCTTGCAAAACGTGTCAATTGATTGTATTATCAACGTTGGGATATTTTCTCTCTAAACTTGCAAACAAAAAAATTACAACTACGTACACAGCAAATTTAAATAGAGCATATTACTTTGTTTAAATCATTGGTAAACATTTCAAATACAATCAACATTTGAGTGGCTGAGTGGATATCCTATAATCACCACTATGTTTCACAATTTCGCTACAGTGAAACTCTTGGCGAGCAGACAGCGGAAATTTCCACTATTTAAAATTTTATGAAATGATTCAGACTGAACCCCCCCCTCCTTTTCTCGCGCGCTTTATTTATTTAATCTCAATTATACAGTTAAACTATGTTTTATTTGACGATTGGATAAACAATCACCACGTTGACGTGCTTCGCCGAGAGACGATAGTAGCCGGTGCAACGAACTGTTTATCCTTGTGCACTGGACGAACTATCGGTCGTTTTTTGTTGTTGATAACTAATTATACCCGTTGTCGAGTAAATGAAATACGAATAAAATTTCTTGTACAAAACGCTGCACCGAGCAAGACAAAAATCGAGCGTTTCAGGCCTCGGACTCGATCGAAAATTAAAAACGCAGCGGTCGATATGCAAGTCGAAGATACGAACTTTTTTTTTTTTTTACTTATCTTTAGTCAATGTCAAAGTCGAACATTGATAGCATTAGAAAAATGCTTTTATTCGCTTTTTATTTTTCGATCGTCCGGCTGCGTGAGTTGATACGCGATTCACCTAGAAATTTTATCTCGTAGCATAATGGATTTTTTTTTTTTTTTTTTTTTTTGTCATCGCATATCCCTCGCGTTCACGTGGTACGCAACTTTGTTATTAGAAGAATCTGTACAGGATGGGTGTCATCACGAGGGAAAAATTACCAACAAACTTTGGGAGTTTGGCGCGAAAAAGAAAGCAACGAAGAATCAAGAGCCAATTTCTTCGGGGGAAAGGGAACTATGGAGAAGGAAAAGGTGTTGGCACCCGGTGTGTATATATGTATACATATATACATATACGCAAGGGGAGGCAAATAATCGTCTTGGTCGCCGGCCAAGCGAAATAACGTTAAAATTAGCCTGGACCTGGTCTCGTTTGTATATCGACACGCGGCCGAGATTATTTGCTGCCTCGTGTGTCTGCGCTGCCGATGTTGCTCTTCGCACACCTACTTTCGCTTTTACGCGGTTTCTGCCAATTGTTGAGTACACGTTTGGGGCGCGTTGATCTCAGTTGCCGGAATTTCTGCGATTCACCTGGAAGTATGGCAATTTTTTTATTTCATTACACTTGGTCCGGGTACTCGATCCAAGTAGAAAATGAAATCGACATCACCCACGGCGAAGTTCTTCCTTGTTCCTCGTTAATCGCTCAATGATAATGCGGTTCTACGCGTGCATGTATATACACGTCTTCGGAGTCGTTTATTGTGACTTTGTGATAAACACGATGTGACCTAGTGCGTTAACCGGTATAGATAACTATTTATCGTCATGTATGTCTTTTTTCTTTTCTTTTATTTGTTATTGCTAATTTCATTCCCACGAGAGAAATATAAGGAGTTGATTTGTTGTTAGATAACACGTGGCAAATCATTTGACGGATTTATCATTCATCTCACAAGGTTTTTACAAGATCATGAAAGCAACCCAATAACCCTTTAGATGTTTTGAAAGTGACATATATCTTAAAAATTGCGACTAGTATACTGTATTTTTTTTTGCAATGATTCGAGATACCTATGGGAAACATTTCAATACGGTGTTAATCTACTCAGAAAATAAAAAAAGTTTGAGGTAGACGATAAATAAGATAAATTGAATGATTAAAAAGAATCGTAGAAGTAGGCAAAGTGAGACTTGAAATTGTAGACGGAAAAAAAAAAGAAAAAAATTTGTAAGCCATTGAAAAATCCTTTCTGCACTTTTTCCGAAAAGTTTTCAAGATTTTCCCCCACGTGTCTTTATTAGCATCAGAAAAAAGAAATTTTTTTCGGAAAAAACAAACATTCATTAAAGCAACTACATCCGAACGAAACAACCTTGACTGTTTTTTATCGCTGCTCGCGATGATGGAATCGTTTTTCCAAAGTAATCCGTTTTTACCTTTCTTACAGACCGTCGAGATAAAACCAACAACCGAAATTCGAGCAAAATGTTAATTATAATTTTCTTTCGACTCAGCCATCATCATCATTAAATGTATGATCGTCACACAATTTTATCTCTTATCAGAGACGTGATATAACATAATTTCAAGTTCATTCGTGAAACGAAGACGAAGGTCAACCGCATACTTGTCGTATATACTATCCGTTTTCAGTCCGTTGCAGTTTTCGGACATAAATTATTCGTATCGGCAAAATTTTCGACATACACCTCCATTAAAACACCACATTGGTCAATATCAAAGCCGACACTGATAATCGAATGTTTTGCGCTTACAGGAGCGGCATAAAAATGATCCTCGAATCGTGAAATCTACGAACGAGCTGCTCGATCGGTACCTACTCCTCTGCTGGAGGACGAAAAGACGTCCCTATATTGTTATGATTGTTATTAATATTGTGAGTGCCAGTTCTCGAAGTTTCGGCGTTGCATACAGACGCGCTTTCTAAAAGCCGACCCAAGGCCAGTGAAGTCTGAGGGGAAATCTTCCTGCTTGGGAATGTTCGATACGTACAATGGTGGGCCGACCCAACGATCGACGAGCACAAGATTACAATTCATCGCGCTCGTCTACCCACGACCTCCTCCCCCACCCCTTTTCTGTGTATGTGCGAAATTTACGATGGCGCTCGATTAAATGTAGAGCTTGCGAAAAAAAAAAAGAACTTTCCCCGCAAAAGTGTTCAAGAGAGCTTTCGCCCGTGCATGTATATACACACCCCCGCGCGAAAGATGCGCTTGTGTAAGGGTTTATTTTAAATTGTGATTTTCCTCCTTTTTTTTTCGCCGAAGCGTCGAATAACCGAGGGAACCGCGTATATATATATATTGCGCGCATTTAGTTTTGCAAACTTACGTCAGCGCCTGTGGATTATACTTTTAAAAATAAACCCTACGGGATGTTACGCGCGCGCAAAAAAAAAAAAAAAAAAAAAAAAAAAAAAAAAAAAACCAGAAAAAAAAGTCTTTTGGCCAACGCGGCACTTATTTATATACACACAACGCGGTCGAGATAAATCCCATTGCGTCCCTCTGACATTGATTATCTCCGAATCATCGAATCGAGAAAGAAGGGGGGGGGGGGAAATGAGCAAGAGTCGCCTTTGCGCATCCTCACCCAATAGATAGTGCAGAATCCACTTTTTCTTGGGCGGCGGGGGCGTCCGGCCTTGAATCCTCGTCTCCTGTCCGTCTGCCCGGCTCCTCTTCTCACCCCTCCCGCTCTCCTCCTCCTTGGCCGCGCAGAGGTGGTGAAAATGTTCCTGCCTAGCTTCGCCGTTGTTGTTGTTGCTCGTAACGTTGACATTGTTGCTGTTAGCCATTATCGCGGGAGCAACACCGGGGTTGCTGCCGCTGCTGAGCCGAGGGTAAGCCGCTTCGCTCATCAGAAGTACGCCCATTTTCTTCGGGACTATGGTTTAGGGATTCCCGCTTGTTTCACTCGTACAACGGTTCGCGGCTTGTGAAACGACCTTCGAGCGCATCGGCAACTTTTTTCAGATCCGGAACACACGTCCTTGCGAATCGTCTTTCGCGCGCACTTAGCCAATTTCCTCAAGATTTATCCGCGTAACGACACCAAGTTCAAACAAACGTCATTGATTTGCAACAACAACAACAACAATAGCACCAACGACGATGGATAACGTCAATTGCATAACTCCACTTGTTGGAAAAGTATATAGTACGGGACTCTGTGGTCCTTTGATTTTTTTTTCTGCCAGCCAAACCCCGTTGCTTTTTTTTTGTTTTGCCCCACTTGTTTTAGATCGAGGTGTAAGTTAATCCTTGGGTGCAAACAGCAGAGAATAATTGGAGTATACTTTGGGGAGGGGAGGAAGGGGACCGATTTCGGGAGTATAGCTCGTGCCTCGCTGGACACGACTGCGGTATCCGTCCTTGGTGCGCGGTCCGATCGGTTTATCTCTCCACCGGTTGCGAGAGCCCCTCCACTTCGAATGGCACTCGAAACGAGGGGTAAAAACGCGTGTGTGGGAGAGAAAAAAAAAAAGAGAAATCTCCAAAATAAATAAAAGCCGGTGTCCTAAAACGAGGAGGTATGTCTGCCTCGCAGACGAATAGTCAGACGAACAGGCGGATGGATGTAGCTTTGTACATACATGTAAAGGTATACAGGAGGTACCAAGCGCCGAGACAAAGTGACACGCGAGGAAGGGGTGAAAGCTTGCAAGCTCGGGTGTGCGTGTGTGTGTGTAGGTCGCGGTGGCGAGAGTCGCGACGGCCGACTAAAGTGCCAACTAGAGTGAGCACGGTTTCCAACCTGGGAAGCAAAGAGGAGGAGGAGGATGATACGATGACGCGCGCGCGACTCTCTATCTCGCGCGCCCCACCCTTCTGACGCCTCTGCTACTGTGCGCGTGTATACACATGCCCCGGTACACGTTGTGCCTGTTTTCCCCTTCTTCTTTGACTACATTAACATATATACTGTGCTACCGATTCACAAGACTTTATTTTGCTTTTTTTTTTTTTTTTTTTTTTTTTTTTTTTTTTTTTTTTTTTTTTT